GACCATTTCTGGCCGGCAACTTTCAGCGTCATTAAGCCGCTGCGCCACCGCGTCCCCTACTCAAACATTACTCAATGTTTTATGTGTAAATTGGCCTTTGGAGAAGAATGTGGCTAATGTTGCATGATTCCTCCCCAGCTTCCCTTCTCTTTTGCCACAAACTGCATTTGACTTGCAGGCAGCTACCTTCAAATTGGGCAGCTTAAGCCTCACCTGCTGCTCCTGCATTCATGGATGCTGCTTCCGAGCGTGCCTTGATTTCTTGTCTAGCCAGTCTAAAGCTCTTTCCTCTTCCTCCCCCCCAGGGATGTGCAGATTGGGGATATTGTGACGGTGGGAGAGTGTCGCCCACTCAGCAAGACCGTCCGGTTCAATGTCCTCAAGGTGACCAAGGCTGCTGGCACCAAGAAACAGTTCCAGAAGTTTTAAAGGCTATTTGTAGTTTTATTTGTATCAATAAACAAGTTGGTGTGATTTGAGTGCTGTCTTTTGGTTAAAGGCAGGAACATTCCTCAACATTTGAAAGAGCAAGCAAATGGGTGCAAAAACACCTCTTTGCAGACCTGATTCCATGGCTCCAGGGGGAAGAAGCAGTGGGGGCCCTGCACCTTCTCACGTTTTCTGTGCAAGGGAGATGATGTGGGCCTTGGGAAGAAGGGAATGGAAGTGCTAATGAAAGGATTCACAGCAAGGTCAGCTGCCGGCCGAGCTGGAGGGCTTTTCTGTGAGGAAGTCTTCGGTTTTTAAGTAAATGGGCCAAGACCTTTTCTGAGGAGGGTTGAACAAGCCTGGGATTGCCCAGACCCGTGGAAGCATGGCAGGGGAATTTGCCAGTCGTTGCTCTCTTCCCCTGACCACCTCCAGCCCTTTCTAAAAGACATGAGCTCCCTTAGGACTGAGTGGGACATGGTGCCATTTTACTGATGGGTTAACTGAGTTTGCGAGTCTGGCCCAGGCCCAAAGGGGACATTTAAATTGCTACCTCCTGCGTTGTGTAGGCTGCCTGTTTTTCAGCCCAGATTTGTGTGCAGCTTGAAAGGGTTATACTT